GTAGGGCAGCTAGCGAGAGGATGGTGGTGAGAGGAGCTGACAAGCGGGGAGGTGAGAAAAGTGGAGCTGGCCGTGGGGTCTGAAGAAGATCCAGGAGCAGAGCAGGCTGCTGGAGGTGCTGGTTGGAGAGGGACGGATGATGGCTTCGTGGGTGATGTTTTGGAGGCCAGAAATGCTGGACCTGGCCCGGGCAGGAGAGCCTCACTGCTCCCAGCTGCCTGCCCTGCCAGCCAGGAGTCACCACCCTCTGGGGTGGAGCGTCCTGGGGACTGCGGACAGGTTTTTAATCCGCTTCAGAAGGTCTTAGTAATTAGCATGCAAAGTCGCAGGACCTTGGAAATCTCTCCTTGCCAAATGAGCTTTCTGTTCAGGCGACTCCTCCGAGCTGGCTTCTTTCTTCCTCTCGTGGAAGATCTCCAATTTTCAGAAGAATTCCTTAAGTATACAAATTTCATGAGCACGGTCTTAATTAGGGACTGTGGTTGACACTAACTGGGGAAAATATGAAAATAAAGTATTCTTAAAAGCCTCTGTAATATAACCACAAATCCTGAAGTGCTTTAATTGTCGTGATGCTGGTGTCGCATGGCCTCAGTCTTGGGAAGACGTGCAGTTGTCCCTGTCTGAACTGTACGTCTCCTACCTGAATCTGTTGAGGTTTGTTTTAAGTGCAGTCTTACATGTGACTTTCCCAAGCGTGATGCTCATGGTTTGAGAAAAATGACATCCCTCCGTTTTTATATTTTTGCATTACTTGTACAGATTCAGCCATAACTCTGTTTTAATGTAGGCTTGAACTGTTTCTGGTCCTAAAATATATATATATATGGATATCTGGAAATAAGTAAACACATTTAGGATATGCCTGTGACAGGTGGAACCATCAGTTGCCTTACTCCTGTTGCCAGCACCTGATCACACAGTAAAATAATGTGTGCTAACTGGAACATGCCAGCAAAGTTTTGACTGGCTTTGGATTTCTTTACTCTTTCTATTGGGATATTGGAAACCTCTTCAAACAGGTGCACGCCCTTTAGTCAAACAAATGCTTCCTGTGGAGCTCAGAACAAAGTCTCGGTGCCGCAGCCTCCTATTCCATGTTAGAAACAATGGTGTAAGGGTTTTTTCAGAGGAACCCAGGCGGTTTGTCTGATCTGCTTTGTAACAGGGTCGCTGTTGCTGACTCAGGCTGGAGGACCTTTTCCAGGCTTTTTTCTAGAAATACAGATCCTGCTTTTCCAAGTCCTTGCTTGAAGATTGGTAAAAACATATGTTGTTTGAACCCCCTGATATAATGGAGATGGCTTGAAGGAAGGGCAATATTTAAGCGTACAGTAGATGTAGAGCAAAAGGAATTGTTCCTCTTATGTTTATGCATATTGTAGAAAAACACAGTAAGATGCCAATTTAGTTCTTGGCTGCTAATTTGCGGTAAGGTATTTGCACAGTTTGAAATACTAAACTACTTTGTAAGAGGTAGACTGGCTTTTGATAATGTAGTTTCCTTTGTGGCTAATGAAAGGCTCATAGGCACTCCAGAGCAGGCCACGCTTCGTGCCAGTGCTGAACATGGGAAGTATTAGTTTGCCTTAATATTGCTGCATGATGTGGTGTGAATTTCCTGGATGTGAATCGGGCCAAAGAGAGCAGAAAAATGTACATAGTGTTCCAGCGTACTCCTGCCCAGTCGCAGCGGTAACTGCACTTGGCCGTAGCGCGTTTGAGTTTTCCTTTTACTGTTTACAGCTTTACTGAGACAGAAGTAAGCAAACTGGTCCGGTTTCTTCCCATCTTCTGTTATTTCTCATCTCAGACCTAAAAAGGAAAAACTAGCCCTTCACTTAAAGCAGCTTTTAAAGATACATGTGGTTTTTGTTAAGACAGATTACTTTCTTTTGCAGAAAATACGGTTCTTCCCATTTTTTTGTGTGTGCTGAACTTACTGTCCCTTCATTTCTCACTCCACAATGTTTTCTGATCTTTATTTTTTCAAACGGAGCCTCAAAAAATAGAAACGTAAATACCTCTTTCTTTATTTTCCATGTGTGGCCTTGTACAGCTCGAGATGTTGCAGTGCAGAAGATTGAGACAATTATAAAAGAACAGTTTGCAGTCGAAATGAAGAGTAAAGAACATGAAATTGAAGTTATAGACCAGGTATAAAGGTTTTATTCTTGAAAACACGTATGACCCTCGTATATCGGGGTTTTGGGGGATTGCTGCAGTGGTTGTCCACTACCATACGTTACCTCTTCTTTTCGCAGCGCCTGATTGAAGCAAGAAGGATGATGGACAAGCTGCGCGCCTGTATTGTGGCTAACTATTACGCGTCTGCTGGTCTCCTTAAAGCCGGAGAGGTAAAAATTACTTTGGGAACAGTAAGACTTTAGGGAGCGTTTGCAAGGGAGGATGTGTAGTCCGGTGGCTGTCTGGCTGGTGTTTGGGTTTGAGCTTCCTGAAATGGTGGAACACGGTCTGGAAATGGGGTGGTGGTGGGAGAGGAGACCTGTGCATCACCGGCTGGGCCTCGAGTCCTCAGTAGCTGAGAAGTTGCTCAGCAGCACGTGGTTCTGGTTTCTGAAGTACTCTGTTTTGGGGGGGTTTTTTAAATCATTTCTTGCATGAGAGCGTCTTGCTTCTCACACACTGCGCAGTTTGTCCTTGCAGAGCCCTGAGAGATGGGGGACATGTTTTCCTGTCTCACAGGAGGAGAGTGGAAGCAGGTGGGTTTTGAAACTTCTCAGGAGAAAAAGGTCTTCTTGGGCAGTGCCGTGAAACCATCCTCTGCATCAAAGCAATATCACATAGAGATTAAAAACACACAGGGAGATGAAGAAAATCAAACCCTGCTAGTTAAACCTCAGTTCTGAGCACTCTGTCTGTAACGGGCTGGTGATCGCGGGTCGTTTGTGACTCGCGCAGGCCCCGGATGGACATACAGTTCACTACCAGTTTAGGTATTTTAGTTATCATCTGTTCAGTTTGGGGAGTTCATCTAATTTCCAGTAAAGAGCTGGTTTTTGAACACTGTAGGTGGGTGCTGCAATCCTGGGCTTTGCTCCGATACCATGAGAATTTCTCCTTCAAGCAATGGCTCACGCTGCTAGTGCCATTTTCCTGCCGTGATTTCCAGACTTGGAGGGGGGTAAAACCGAAAAGGTCCAGCTTGTTTTTCCCTCCCTGAATTTGAGTTGAGCAACTGGCGTTGAGAAAGATCATGGCAGTGTTGAGAGGCTTGGAGATCCTTCTACCTCCTCGATTTCTGTGTAGGCGGCTGAAGAATGTGAGCTGGGTTCTGATCTTTGAAAGCGCTTTTATCCGATGTCGTCACGTGTCAGCAAGAGCCCGCGCTGTCCCCCGTTCCTTACTTGTTCTGCCACGCAGGGTGTTTTCTCCCTGCTGATTTTCACACTTGGCAGAAATAATAACTTTTGTCATTGTTTTGAAGTGTTCACAAAACTTACTGGTGCGTCCTGGCTTTGTTTTGTTTTCCTGTCATTTATAAGAGTTGTGGCTAGTGTAGCTGTATCTTGGATGACAATTTGAATTTTTTTTCCAAAAATTATATTTAGCCTGCATGCAGGCTAAATCAGTTCTCTTCTTATTTTGAAATGGGTACTGGTTTCAGTTTTCTTGGTTGTCTGCTTTTAGTGTGGGGTTAGTGTGTGAGTTGGTTGGCAGTGAATGGTTGTTTTGTTTCTGCTCCTGGTAGAATGGGAATCTTTGTAGTTCAAGTCCGTTCCTAACCTGTTGTCATAAACAGTTTTTCAACCTACTGCTGCTGGAGTTTTGAGGCTTAGGATTCTGTATGATTACAGTTTATTACGTTTTCCCACAAATTAGTGGTAAAGGTGTTTGTCAGTTTACTTGACTAGAGGTAAAACAAAACAAAACGGTTCTTGATGGTGATTTGGTTTGTTTTCCGTGGTCCTTTTGGTCACGTTGTGTGTGTCCCCCGCCGCTGGGTAGATGTAGCTAGTGCTGTCGAGCGGGCAGCTGAGAGTCGGTGATTTCTTTGCTGGCATACCTAACGGACCGTTGGAAAGCAGGCTCTCAGCTGAACCTCTGCAGTCCCAGGTGCGTCGGTGTTTGACTCCCCTCCTGGTAGCCCCTCTCGAGGGCAGTTCTGCTGCTCCATAGCGGTGTGGGTGTCTATCCCCATGCTGTCCCCTCCGTCACCTTGGCAGAATTCTGGATTGGGGAGTTTAACGTGGATTAAAAATAACCCTGCAAAGGTAAAAAACCCCTCTGAACCAAACAAACAACAAAAAAACCAAACAAATAAATCCCAAATCAGTTTCTTGATGTGTTTTTCTTTGTCACCTACTCCTTCCCCATGAATAATTGTGCCAGCCTGGCTGATCCGGGTGGTTCGGGCAGGGAAGAAGAAAGCCTCTTTCAGCTGGTACTGCCTGCAAGAGCTGCCTGTGCGACTCCAGTGTGAGTCTGTGGCTTTGGGAGCTGGAGTGAGCTTGTCTGTCGGGGCTCTGCTGCTGGCAGAGGGGTGTTTCTGCGCCGTCAGTGGATTCATCATCAAACCAAGGTGACAGGGAGGACTCATGGCTGAGAGAAGAGGCCAAGGGACGCTTGCTTTGAGCGATGGGTGTTTTTCTGGCTACTTCTGAGGTCAAAAGCAAACGCAGGAAAAAAATACATTGGGGCTTTGTCACAGTAATGAAAAAAAATAACCAAAAGAGATTTAAACACGCACACATACACACCCCTTCCTCCCTCTTGCAGGTTTAGGAGAGTCTAAGGTTAGCACTAAGATGTGCGTTTTGAGGAAAGTTTGCGAGACTGCCTAAGCCCGTTATTCTTTGTGCTCCGTTAAGCTCTGGGAGCAGACAGGGTGCTAATACGTGTAGCTTGCCTCATAGGCGTAGGCAACACTGCCAGTCAGCATCGAAACTGAAGAGCCTGATGCATTTACGTACCCCGCTTGCCTGCAGGAATCGGGCAGCTGGGGCCTTTTGTGTGGTGTAAGACCGTAGGTGTCTGCGCAGGAAAGGAAGCTGGTATTTTCAAAGGGGCAGTAGGCTGCAGTCCTCCTTTCCAAAACCAGGTGGATTTCTGAGATCAAAAGGCCTGAAGGAGCAGATTCAGTTTGGGGTCCAGTTTCTGTAGAACCGATGTAAGCTTTTATCTTTGGCGGCATATGTTTTTCCTGCAAGGCAGCTGATCAAATATTTACTCTTTCTTCATATGTTGACGCTTTGCTCTGCTTCTGGCGCAGCTTCGGTTTTTATCTGGGCTGCAGGGAAATAGTGACAAATCTGCCTGACCAATTTGTTGCAGGGGACCAGGTCATGTGATGCGACAATTCTTAATCACCCTTCAATCAAGAAATTCTTGGAATCGCCCTCCAGATCATCGTCTCCAGCTAACCAGGGCTCAGACACTCCATCTGCCAACCACTCCGAGAGCGACTCGCTCTCGCAGCACAATGACTTTCTCCTGGACAAAGACAACAGCAACTTGGACGCAGACGAGCGGCTGACAAACAGCCTGGACCAGAGACAGAGCAGAAATACTGGCCGGGTAAAGTAAAACTTGAGTGGTGGTCAAGTTGTTGGAGGTGTGTGCTCTGTCTGGACTCGGTGCTGGCACCAGGAGCCCTTCATGCTTTCACCCACCTTGCTGAAGATCTGTTTCTTACTCTCTCAAACTGCTTGCTCCCACTGTCTCAGCCTGGCTTTGCTGTAAGGCCAGCTGAAGCATGTGTAGCTTGGGTAGCTCCTCTTAACTCAGTCTCCCCCAACAGAGAGGTCAGCCAGGCAGCGGTGATGGCGTTCGTGTTAGCCCGGCCATCTGCCGCTGCCTTGGCTGGTGGCCTCTGGGGAAGGAGGTGTTCCACAGCCTGAGCAGAGGGCTTTGCTCTGCGGGTGGAAGTTGGGTCAGGAAGGGTAGAGCCTGGAGAGAAAGGCAGGACGTGTCATTCCCAGCGGTGTTTTGAAGAAGCTGTGCTGCTTCCTGGCCGTGGGTGCCCACGGGGACTGCATTGCTTAGAGCGATTGAACGACTAGGGTTTGGGGTTTGGCCTCCACAGCAGCCTGGGGAGAAAACACAGCGACACCGGGGGGTTGGCTCACCCTGGGAGTGCGAGCTGGTGGAGCCTGGGTGCATCGCTTGTTTTTCTCTTGGTGCTGCTTGCTGTTGAGCTAATATCACTGCTTGCTTAACTGAACCAGGCTGACCCTGGATAAAATACCTTCTTTTGTTGTCCCCCCGTACTTTTTTCTGGGTTATTTTTGACCTGGATCCATTCCCTTTATGGCTTGCTGTGCAGCTACAGAGATGTGTTACCTGTGGGCTGCAGTTAGCTCCACCGGGGAGGCTCTGTCGCTGGCTGCGGGTGAAATGTGCCTTTTGTAGGCGAGATGAAGCTCTTCAGTTCCCTTTGAGTTCCTTTAAGCTGTCGGGTGTGCCAGAGGAGTACAGCCTCTAACCCAAGCCGGGGATGGGTATATCTCGTTGCGTGTGGCTGCGTTCTGCAACTGAACAAGTTGCAATAATACGTGGCAGAAAGAGCAATGATTCTGCCTCTGTTGAGCAGCGTCACACCCTTGCTAACAGGGCTGCAGTTTGCTGAAACCCTGCCTAGGGTCAGTAGCAGAAGGCAGGTTTACAATATAGAGTGTGGACCCACCTATGTCGTAAACCAGCAGACCGATACACCTTGTTCCTGTGCTGGGGGCATCGATGGAACAGTTGTATTGCTTGGGTGTAGCATGTTGCTACGTCTTCGCCCAGCGCAGCACGTGGCCCCGGTGGCTGAGGGGATGATGAGGAGCAGGAGCCATCTCAGCCTTCCGTGGCTCCTTGCTCTGGTTTGGGGCATGGCTCGCTCCGCAGAGGAGGTGTAGCGGTTCCTCGGGAATCACAGAATCACAGAATAGTAGGGGTTGGCAGGGACCTCTGTGGGTCATCTAGTCCAACCCCCTGCCGAAGTAGGGTCACCCAGAGCAGGCTGCACAGGCCCTTGTCCAGGCGGGGCTGGAATATCTCCAGAGAAGGAGACTCCACAACCTCCCTGGGCAGCCTGTGCCAGTGCTCCGTCACCCTCAGAGGGAAGAAGTTCCTCCTCATGTTCAGACGGAACTTCCTGTGCCTCAGTTTGTGCCCATTGCCCCTTGTCCTGTCACTGGGCACCACTGAAAAGAGCTTGTCCCCATCCTCCTGACACCCACCCTTCAGATATTTGTAGGCATTTATAAGGTCCCCTCGCAGCCTTCTCTTCTTCAGGCTGAACAAGCCCAGTTCCCTCAACCTCTCCTCGTAGGGGAGATGCTCCAGTCCCCTAACCATCCTAATCTGCTGCTCCCCACGCTGGCCTTCGTCTGATCGGCACTTGGTGGAGTACCAGCTGTGTTGTTGATGAGAGGATATCGGTGCCTTCCTCTCTGGACAGCCAGCTTACCCAGCAGAGTCGCAGAAAAGCCTCTCATTCCCGTGCAAACGACAGCGCAGCCTTCGTTGGCACTGTGGGCAGGCACGTCAGCGTTCTACCGGGGAGTTTTGGCTACTGCCTCATAGCTGAGGTTGTGTTAGAAGGTTGCTGAGGCTGGATTTATGATGCCCAAGTGCTGCGGGGGGTTTGTACGCTTACCTGGATGTCAGTGACATGGTGTGGCTGGCTGCTCTCCATGTTGAGTTGGAGCAGAATTCTTGTCCCAAGCCCAGCCTAGATTCTTCACCGTGAAGCAACGCTGGAGTCTCTCAAAGCAGCAGAGCCTGGGAACGAGGAAGACTTAGATTTTCAGAAGCCACTCGTGGGAGGCTTAGCTTTGTTTCTGATTCGTGACCAACACGATGCCACTCTGGCAGTGCTTAATTTTTTTCGACAGTGCAGTAGCAGTGCGTTTGAAACCCCAGCTGAAACCATGGCTCAGATCCATGGTATGTCGCATAATGTCTGCTCAGTTACCCCATGCGGTGTGCACTGGGCTAGGTAGTGTATCATTGTTGCATGCCTGAGTTGCTTAAACGTGCCTAGATAGCAATTTAAGTATTTTTAGAGATGATTCATTGTTGGTCTCTCATTTAACGATGCAGGTTTACTTTTTTTAACAACACCGTACTTCTCTAGCACCAAACAAAATTATGTTTAAGAGGAATGTTTGGATTTTTTGTTTGCCTTTTTTTGTCTTCCCCTACCCTCAGGACAGTTCGGGTGTTTCAAGCTCTCAAAAACCAGGACAACGAAATGCCGGACTGTCAAACGATGAAACTTCACGGCTTTATGTGAAGAAAACGATCGTGGTTGGCAACGTCTCCAAGTTAGTATCCAGAGTCTGGGGGGTGGTAGTTTGTTGCAGAGTTAGATGGAACAGGAGATTAAAATTAGGAGACAAATAAAATTGCCAGGCTGTCACAATATGAGGTATTGCCCTCAAATAATCACGCTGCCCAAGGCTGCCCTCCTTGAGTACCTGCATGAGGCGTTTTTTTGTGGGAGGAACAGGTGTTTTAGTAGTTGTTGTATTTATATATATGTGTGTGTGTGTATATATATATATATGTATGGAAATTTTGAGATCAGTTTCTCTCAAGGGGAGTCTTCAGCCTTTTCTGATCAGTTAGAAATCCCAAGTTTGGGACAAAGCAGGTTGTCTTAATGGCTAATTCAGTATGTCCATAGGGACAACATGATGTTTTTAAATAAACCCAAAACACCCAGACCTCCAGAATGAGGAAAATTGTGAAAGTCCAACATGGTCTGAAGAAATTCATTTGTACAGCTTTTATTTATCTTTTTTTTTTTTCCCCAAAAAAATTAAGTAAATATACATATCTTTTGAACTTTGAGGAAATTAGAAGAAAGGCATTCATTGTAGGAGACTATGGGCAAGTCCAAGTTTTAACGCTCCACCCTTGCACTACTCAAGTCAGTTTTTTCCTCTTGCATAGAAAGTAGTAAACATTTGCTGACGAGGCTTACGGTGTTAGAGTTGTGTGTTGAAAATCTACCTAAGCCTAGACCCAGAACCAAGTGTTTACTTCAACCAAGTGTTGAAGCTTCTTAAAAATTTGTAAGAAGAATGGTTATTTTTTGTATTTTTGGTAGCAGAGTGGATGATGTTGTGTTCTGGTGTGGTTTTGCTTCCTGGTGTCTCAGCAAAGATGAGGAAAGCGATTTGACAGCTGTAGAATGCTAAAATTAAGCCTTTCTAATTAAGAAGCCAGTGTTTAGATGGATGAATTTCGTCTGGCCGTTGTGCACTGAAGTAGAGGAAATGTGTTGGAAGCATAGAGTCGGTTACGGGACCTGTATCTGTTTCTGGATGAGCTGTTGGAGTAAGCAGTAACAAGCAGAACTGTACAGGGTGCAAGGTTCACCTAGGCTTTTTACCATCCCCCAGTTGGTTTTTTTTTTTCTGCATAACCTTTCCTGAAATGCGTTTTGTGGTATTTATCTATTTGGGATTTTTATCTTGTGTTTGGTTTTTATTTTTTTTGCCAGGTACATTCCCCCTGATAAGAGAGAAGAAAATGATCAGTCGACCCATAAATGGATGGTGTACGTCCGAGGCTCTCGGAGAGAGCCCAGCATAAATCATTTTGTCAAGAAAGTTTGGTTCTTCCTCCATCCCAGTTACAAACCTAATGACCTGGTGGAAGTGAGGTAATAAGGAATTATTCCGGTCGCTATTCTAGTCTTTATGCTTGCCAGGCTTACAGTGCCAAGTTTCTTAGAAAGTTAGCAGCTTATTTTCCTGGTTTAGCATTTCGTGTCTGTCTTTAACCTCTGGCTTGGCTTGACTTACTCCAAAATAATAGAGAAAAAAAAAAAATGTTTTGTGTAGAAAATGTGCCAAGCAGTTTTGTTTTGTTTTTTCTTTTGGAATTCCTACTGAGAAAAATCATTCCATTTTTGCATTTCATGTTCTTCCTGTGAGTTTGTGCATCTCCTGTATGTGTTGCACTGTCTGCTGTGCAGGTTAGACTGTGGTTGCTGAAAGAGACGTTTTCTATCTCCCATCCAGTCCAGTGTGGAACAGAAAGGAGTCTCAGGAAGCTGTTTTGCCCATAGCTTTAGTGACACATGTGCCTTTGGGCAAGGCACTATATCCCTCCCCCAAGTATTTCTCTACTGTAGTGAGATCCGTGGCGTTTGGCTTGATGCTTCAAGGTATTTCGGGTCAGTGCAGTGGTGTTGGTGCTACAGAAACAGGGCGGCTTCTCCATTCACTCCCAGACCTGTCTTCCAAGCTGTGCCCCTCATGAGCGAGCTCAGTTCTCTCTTGACTGCTGCAGGGAAGTGCCCTGTCCATCTTTCATCCTTGCTCCTTTGGACAAGATGGTGGGAGTGTGCCTTCAAACTAGTTGTGTCTTCCCAGAGGAATTATTCTCCATGGGATGTTCAGCTGCCTCGTGGAGGAGGGTGGGGAGACTGCCTAGGTACAGAATGGCGACTTAATTCTGGCAAGATTAAACTGACTGAGAGGCAACTCCAGAAAGACTTATCTGAGATAAGAAATGTTGGTAAGGCTCACTGATGTTTCTGAGAAGGCAGCCCTGAGCAGGCTGAAGGCAAACTCCTTTGTTTCTTGTATAACATACTAAATTACACTTGACTGCTGTCTTTTTGTGCCTTTCTCAGTTTCCAGTATCTGATGTCAGTGCTGCTTGTCTTCTGCTTTAATCCCCTATAGTTAAGTGTTTTCTTCTTGTTGCACAGTCCCAGTCATTGTAATGAACATTAATGTTCTGGACTGAAAATAGCCTTTAAACCTCTTGTGCTATGTTTCATTCCAAAATTGCATTTGGGGTTTACAGTAACAAGCTGAAATACAAACCAAGTAACGATAAGCGTTAGGGATGAATATGCCCTTCTTTTTCAGCTCCCAGAATGACAGTTATTGAGTTAACTTTTCCGTGTTGTCTGTATGTTGTTCTCTTGGGCGTTACATGAAGCGTGTGCCTTCTTGCTACTAGATGGGGAACAGCAGAAAGAGATTACAAAATATTGCACTGAAAACTCACCTTGCGGCTGTGTCCTAGGAGCTGCCTTGGGGTTTTTGAAACAAGTATTTTTCACTTGGCATTACACAGCCTTTTTTAAATGATCCTTGTTTCTCGTGTTGTCTCATCCAACAGTGTTTTACCATTTTCTTCTCTGTCCCCTCATGCAAAGTAAAAATATGTTTTTGGCTGTCCAAACCCATAAAACTCTCATTTATGTGATTGCACTCTCTCTGGTGAATAGCAGGCCTGAAGATGGCTGTAGTTGTCAGCTAGAAAAGCAGCCTTTGGCTTTCTGAAAAAGAGGTAGGTGAAAGCTGTACCGCTTTTGCATCCAAAATGGGAACCAATGTCTGTTTCCAGAGAACCTCCATTTCACCTGACCAGGAGAGGCTGGGGAGAATTCCCTGTGAGGGTCCAGATACACTTCAAGGATAGCCAGAACAAGAGGATCGATATCATCCACAACTTGAAGGTATTTGGACAAATCTGAGAGACAGGCGGTTAAATGAGCTCTCCTGCGTAATCTAGAAGAGGCTTCACTCACAAACAGTTGAGCTGGAGAATCAGAAAAGATCCAGGAAAGTCATTTTCCGTGGCAGTATTGGAGGTGATGCTGTAGCCGAGGAACCCAGCCTCACAGCAGCTGCAAGCAGCAGGGCATTTATGTGTTGCTTCCCTACGGTTTGAGATGTTTATCGTACTCTCACTGGCTTTCACTGGACAGGGTGCTGCAGGGCCGTCTTTCTGTTGGTAAAGTGCCTGCCCACTGTATCTGTTCTGTACCTTCAGCAGGTGCACGTATGAGCTGGAGGTTAGCTCTGCTGGTAGAGTGGGCAGGGAGGGGCTGACGTTCCCCATAGGTGCCTTCTTCCTTTTGGAGAGCCGCCTTTTTCAACTCCTTCACCTGTCCCGTGACACTCAGTAGGATTTACAGTATGCAACAGTCCTGCAAAACTAGGCCATTGCTCTCGTTTTGCTTTCGATTAGTAGTCCCTAGCATTAGTGGCAGTAAGTCCTCAGCTGGTTTAGTTTCCTGTTTCTTTGAGCAGCAAGATTAGTTTTCTTTAAACCCTGCCTGCATTAATGAATTTCCTGCTAATGCGGCTACCTCGTTGCAAGCCCAAATACAGACAGTAGAGAGGCTGGAAATGTTCCCCTGGAACCTAGGGCCATTGAATGCAGATGATGGGTAAAATACATTTGGAGAGGTACAACCTGGGGAGAAATCAGTGACAGCGTGAAGGATGTTGTGCTGCGAAGGAAGCCCAGCCAAGAGAAGAAAACCGAGCCAGTCTGTGGCACACGAGAACTCAAATCAGCAAATCTTTGCTGTTTGCATGCTGAGCCTGCGGCTGCTGTGAGGTGATGTGAGTGAGCTGAGCCCTGCTGCGTGGCTGGCGGCCTGTCTGCCCCGAGCTCCGGGGCACTGCGGGCCTGTCAAACCCATCATCTCTCTAGAGGTGTCTTAATAGATGCCTCTGGGATTCTCGGACAGCTGATGCTTAGTGTGAACAGTTATTTAACGAGAAATCATAGTGTAAACGTAGCCTTCGTGCTGGTCAGTTTAAATCTCTTGAGTTTTTTCTCATTATTATCTCCTTATATTGACATCAGGAATGGAAGAGAACACTCCTCGAAGACTCTTCTTAGACTGAAATATAAATTCCCCAGCGATCTCATTTCCTTCAGTTTTTTTGCTCCTTTCCACTTTAGTGTGGGCTTTGGATCGTGGTTGGCTTTTCTGCAGGAGAGAGGGTACTTAACAGAGCACGCAGATTTCTGACCCTGTGGCCCCCTAAAACTGGATGCACTGCTGCTCACCTTACATAGTTTTGACTCCTTTCAAATAAATTGTGTTGTAAATTCTATCCAATATATTGCTTTGCCCTGCTTAATATAAATATATTGTATTGTTTCACCCAGTTGGACAGGACCTACACAGGCCTGCAGACACTCGGCGCAGAAACGGTGAGTCAGTGGGTTGTGGGATGGATGCTGTACTTTGATTCCCTCAAGGATATTTAAAAAGATACATGGGACTAAGCACAGAGTCAGGCCTGTTTGATTTCACAGTTTCTGGAATGTGGATTTTGCTTTCTTGTTCGAAGAAATGATTATGACACCTTGTCGCTATTCATGACAACAGTCATTTTTTTCCCCTTTCTGGTTCAGGGGAGACTCTTTCCAGCTCTTAATTTCATAAAGAACTGAACTTGTAGTACAGTTGTAATTTTGGTTTCTGTGTGAAGCTTCTGATACTAAATGCCTTGATTTGCATTCTGATGTGCTGCAGATCTCATACATAAATAATTTAAATTAAAATGATCACCCAACTGTCGTGCTGAAATTTGGCAGTGCAGTAAGTACTTCTAAGTTTCTGCATCTTCCAAAATTCAGTATCTTCATGGAAGATGAACTCTTGAAATAAAATAAATGGATTAATAACGCGATGTTTGCTATATCCCTAAAGTTTTTTTGTATGGTTTTCCCCTTGTTGTACTGTAGTGAATGGAAATTTTTGTAGTGAAATTGCATTACTTCCAACTTTTCAGTCTGTGGCGAAAACATTAATGTGAGATTGTCTCCTGTGATTAAAGAACACTTTTGAAGAGTAGATAATGTGGTGTGTTTCTCCAGGCCTTATCGAAAAAGGCAAGCTGCAGTTTTGTGCCTGTCCCTGAGGGGGTATGCGGTCCTGTCCGTAGTGGGGTGCTTGGAGCTGGGCTCTGTGTTCCTTCCCGTGTTCACTGGTCGGAGTTCCCCACGGACCGAGAGATGTGCGATTTTACCATGGGGGTTAAACGTTGCAAGGTTTTTGTCTTGGCTCAGGTGCTGCTGGACCTCTGGGAAGGCTCCCTGAAACGAATGGAAGTGTTACGTGGAGACGGGAGGAGGAGAGGGAGGGGTTTCGAGGCATTAAAATAAAAAGGAAAAGCATAGTTGTTTTCAGTTTTTGTATCTTAGATACCAAATATTAATGTCGCCCTTTCTCCTGTTCTGGAAGGTAGTGGATGTGGAGCTACATAGGCATTCCCTTGGCGAGGAGTATCTCTTCTCCCAGTCCTCAGAGTCTGACCTTTCCGACGTCCCTACGTCTTTACCTCTGCCGTTGAGTATCCCAGCACCAGTCAAAGCTTCTTCGCCAATTAAACAGTTGCGGGACTCCAGCCCGGATGCTTCTGTGGACAAAGGTAAAGCGAATGGGTGTTGGTGGAATTCGAGTTCTTGAAACTTCAGCTCTTCTGGATCCCTCCTCTTAAATGCTCCTGTGCCTTGAAGGTTGCCAGTGCTACCTGCTCCTTGCTCATCCCAGATGATCGTTTCCTCAATGAACTCTGAAATGTAATTCAGAAATCGTTACAGTTTATTTGAGTTTGGTGTGTGGTTTTTGGGGGCTTTTTTTTAATCTGAAGTTTGTTGAGCAGGCTCTCTTGCGCTGAATATACTGAATATGGAGCCTTATGCAGCAGATGCAGTTGGAAAAAAGGTTGTTGAATAGCACTTGTGGTTTAGTTCTTGGCAGTCTGTTTTCAGAGGGTTTTTCAGGTTTCTGAATGTTTTGGGGACTGTGTATCCATTTAAGGAATTGGTCTAGTGGTGTGTTCAGTTTTGTACATTGGTGGCTAACCTGGGTTGACTGGGAGAGGAACAAAAATGGCGACATCGCTGTGGTGTTGAAGCTAGAGAGTGAAGAAGATGTAGTGTGTGTCTATCCAAGGGATGGTCTCTGTGCATGTCGTGGCCTCACTCTCGCCTTCCCCTGTAAGCGCCCGTTGCATGGGGCAGCAGTTGATGCCTTAAGAGCATTTGAATTGTCTGGAACAAGCTAGTGCTGGCCCCTTGGGCACACTGTTATGATTCTTAGTTTGTGTGAAAACTGTGCCTCTGTTAACGTTTAGCTTTGTTTTCTGAAATACACGGCGTCAAGCTTACGTGACAGACCTTGGTTAACTGGGCTGAGAAACACGGATGTCTATTGTGGCTTGCACATTTTAGTGTGAGAAACTTACTGGAGACAGCAACTTTGTATTTCAAAATAGGGTTGCATGCAACATGGTCTGATGCCTTTCTTGGCTTATCCTGACACTCCTGTGTTCAAGGAACGGCTTCAAGCTGGCATCTTGCACTGTGCACTTTCGGGTAGGTGCTGTGGTGCCGCTGGTGGTGTCCTGGCTCAGCAAGAAGAACGTCCGCCGTTCAAGTGTGGTTTTTTTCTAGTGGCCAAGAAAGCAGAAATGCAATCCAATTTTAAATGCACAGGCTTTTATTAAAACAGGGAGATATGCAGCACCTGTAAGTGAGCATTGCTACAGCAAACAGGAAGGAAGTAAACCTGCCTCTTTCTTACACTGCTGCCAGGCAGCAGCTTTTCTCGTCAGCTCCAAGTCAATTGATCTCCTCCTGCATCCAGTAAGATGGATTCCTTAACCCAGGTCAGAAGGCAGTAGGGTGGTCTCCTCGTGCTCTTACTCCAAAAAACGCACTGCGAGATTCTCTGCGGGGGAGATCCAGCCTGAGCCCTAACCGAGGACACTCGGCACTACCAGCAGCTTTTGGTTGATGGAAGGAAATGCGTAAGAAGTGGCGGATCCCCTGCCACAGCTGAGCAGGGACGGTAGCGTTTGATTCTGTTCAGAGACGAATCTAATAGGCTTGCGCAGGAGGAACCCCTCACCCCACTTTCTCCCTGTTCAGCTGCCCACCAGTTGCTTTTCCTTCCTTCCTTTGAGAGCGTGTTTGTCATACCTGAGTTTTGTTTGTGTAGAGAAGCACAGTAAGGAATTAGATGTCTCAGCCTAAGAACTATTTCTCTTCTTTTCCCTGTTTTAATCAGGATTCCCTGGGAATGCTGAAACCGAAAGACATGCCACGTTTTATTCCCTGCCATCTTCGATAGAACGGACTCCCACCAAGTTAGCCACACAGAAAGTTGCCTTTGGCTCTCATGGAAATTCAGCTTTTCAACCCATTGCAGCTAGCTGTAAAATAGTACCTCAAGGTCAGAGTCCGAGCCCTGCAGAGTCGCCAGGAAAATCCTTCCAGCCCATCACCATGAGTTGCAAGATTGTATCAGGTGAATCTTAGTTTACCTATCCCAGTGCTTCACTCTGGAAAACGAGAGTGAACCAGTTGGACTTGGTGTGTGTCCTTCCCCTGATTTCCTGCCAATGTTTGAACATAGAGTAAGGAGCCAGACACATTTCTTGATGTTAAAGGAAAAAACAATAAGAGTGTGAAATGCTTCACATCACATCAGAAGCAGGATGAGAGCTGTTCTCTCCCTGTTCTTGAATGCTTTTAATTATGAAAATGGTAGTCTTTAACTGGACTGCTGCCCATGGAAAGACCCAGGCAAGGACACGTCTTCCATGTGGGTTATCTGTATGTGGGAAGAAGCCATTCTTCTCCCTCCCCCTTTCAGACAACTGGGATGGATTAAGAAGAAATTTTTTTTTCTGATTATTGGGCGAATAATTAGGTTCAACCTTGTAAACTCAAGTGCTCCCTCTTGTACTTGTGGTATCTCCTCAGATGGAACAGCTTTGGTCTTCCTCTTCCCAAAGTCCACCCTCTGTTGGGTTAAATGTCAGCTGACTGCGGTGAGCAGTGTGGTACTCTTGATAGCTTCTGAACCAAACATGGTCAAGGTGCTGTTTACTCATTTCACTTGTAGTCCCTCCCCTGCCTGGGCATGATGCCATCCACTCGATGCTTTTTTACATCAGAAAGTCCTAATGTGCAGCTCACTGTGTCACATGTGGTGAAGCTGAGAGATGACCTGTTACATCCCTTCATTTTCTGGTGTTTGGGGTAGAGAGGACGAAGCACTAGCTATCAGTATGTGCAGTTTCTGATGATCTGCTCCAAGTAATTGTCCTCAAGTGTGTCTGGTTTGGGTTTTGTTATTAAATTTCACTATTTTTCCGTTACATCTTTAAACTGTACTCGGGCTGATTTACATTTGAACCTATGCCAAGTGCTTTCTTCTTGCTTAATAAGCTCTTCTCTTGATCTTCTTTTCCCAAGGCTTCCCAGAAAGAAAGAATTACAGGGGCCATCCTGTCTTCCTTAAAATCCTTAGACTATTCTCTGCTGATCTTTGCTATTTAAATGTTTCTCTGCTAAACATTTTTCCAAGGCTCTGCTGTCTGCTGAGAAATGTCACCCCTTTCAAACTTCAAAAGCAGTTTATAAGACATGGGGATTTTATTTGATCAGCATTTATGTTCCATTTCAGTTGTCAATCACTGCCAAGAGAGATTAACAGGCAGTTGAAGCTTAGTGTGCTTGCTGCCATCTCTCTCTCTGATCACTTTCTTGCCTGTCCTTTGCTCTACATTTCTTGTTTACCCCCTCCTGCAGCTTCTTTCTTCTCTAGTTTTTCTCTCTCCTGCTCCTGTTACCCAGAAGTTGCACATTTTACGGTTGCTTTCAAGGGCTTCTGCTGTAGTGAGAGCAGTGAAGAGACAAGAGCATCCATGCCTGTCTGATGGCTGCTGTATCACACAGCCTTTTACTTGAAGGGCTTGGTGCTGGGCTCCGCAAGGGAAAGGGAGCGTGTATCGAGGAGCTCGGCTCGCTCTCTTCGTCTCCTTGGGTGGACGGATCTTGGCAGTGAGAATGATTTAGATAGCATCCCTGAGGATTCAGGGATGGACTAGGTGGCTTCTCAAGGTCCCTTTGAACCCTGCTGGTCCTGGCAGGCAGAAAATGTCCATGGTAGGTATGAGCCACGGTGCTTACATGCCTTTTCCTTTCCTTCTGTCTCCTCTTTCCTTCTCCAAGTCCTATGACCTCGCGCAGGCCGGGAGTTGCATCCTCAAAAAATGTTCCTTCTCTAAGCTACTTAAATAAGTACTGTTGTTACTGTATTTTTATGTTCTCACGACATTTACAAGATGGAAGCGTTGGACTTTTTTTCTTAAGGTTCTCCAATATCGACCCCTAGTCCATCTCCGCTACCTCGTACCCCAACCTCCACTCCGGTGCACATGAAGCAAGGCTCTGCTAGTTCAGTCATTAATAATCCGTATATTATTGTGGACAAGCCTGGACAGATGGTTGGAGCAGCAGCCACAAGCACAGGTGTGTAGTGTGATCACAGAAGGCAGTGGCTCAGTCTTACCCATTCAAGTTTATTCTCCCTTTAAAATGATTAGAATAACAACAGTATTTCAGCTTGCGAAGATGGAAGAGTACTCGGCAAAGAAAGAGGGAGGTATTGTTGGTTTGCACGACTGGCTGACCTGGCATGGTGAAGGGTACCTCAGACTTGAATAGAATTTTAGGAAACAGCGCGTAGTGTGAGGCCCAGCTGAATTCAGATACCTCTTCAAAGAGAGCCTGTCCTTTGCAGGCAAAAAGGGAAGGAGAGACAGTGGTGTAGACTGCGGTGCACAGAGATTTAAACAGAAACAGTGCACAGGGGGTGGGGTGGGGACTGTATCGTGGGTATGGGCAAAAAGCACGGAGAGCTTGCAGCGACTTGCAGACCAGTCTGAAGCTGCAGTGTACGGTGCTCTAGGTGTGTTGAAACGGTTGAGTAGGCCCGGATTACCAGGAGAGCAGCCGTGCTAGTTTCTGTTGCTGCTCTAAACTTAGCACTGATCAGATTCCAGCTGGTTTGGATTCCTCTAACTGGATTCCCTCGGTGCTTCAGCAGTGACATAAGCCTGGGGTCAGGACTGAAAAGCAGGAGGCGGGTGATGGGTGTGGGAGTCAACTGGTAACCTTTGTGCTGGGGCTGGAGGAAGGGTCACTTGAAAGTCATTTATTTGTTGTGATTTGTGTCCAAGAACTGCTGTCTATGTGACAACACAGTTGTTTGTGTGTGTGTGTGCTTGCCAGCGTTTCAGAAGGATGCTCAGAGCCATGTGGTGAACGGCAGCGTCCGTGTGACACACAAACTGTTTGCTGGGCGTGGTTGGAAAGTGCTAAAATCCTTCACTTGGTAATGGTTTCTCCTCTTCTCTGAAGGAAAACAGCTGTCATTCATTTTGACTTCGTGTCAGAGGGAACTGGTAGGGAAGCATAGCCGTAGCAGAATTTTTCTGAAGTAAGTTTTGGTGCTTTCTTGGTAGCACTGAAGCTGTTTCACCAATAGGTTGGGTGTTTTTTTTAGTTGGTTGGGGGTTTTCTGCCTTTTTGTCTGTGCTGTTTCTTCCTTACTTCCAGCCTGACTGTCTACTCTGCATGGTTAATCATGATTTGGGTAACTTTTGTGTTCTTCTAGTAGAGATTTGTACATGGAGGAAAGGATCTGTAGATGTACCGGATGGTTTGGACACACGAGCCTTAACACCACTAAAGGTGTGGTTCCCCACCACAGGAGTGTGGTGTAAGTACAGACTGGCCTGGCAGAAACCGCCTGCTGCCTCTCCCTCCCCTGCGCTCCGGCAGCTTCCCCTGTATCCTGCCCGAGCCAGGCTGGATTGGTGACAGAACAGAAAATTAATACCCTCGCCTCCCCATACTTAATTTTGTTGTCATATAGCCTCATCACCAGACCCTGTATGAGGGAGCAAGAGGGGATGTGGAACTGGCTTTTAGGCAGCGGCGACCAGGCTGGGTTGAGCATAATGTGATACTCCAGACAAAGTCACTGGGGCGTTTCTGGTAAGACTCCAGATGGCATTTAAAAAGAGGGACGAGATCTGAAACTTCACACTCTGAAAGCCAGCCTTCCCAAACCCCATTATTGGGAGAAATGGCTGCTCTTTTGAATTTAAATGCAGATTGTAGTACAACTGTATGAGAGACTATTACTGTGCTTCCATGCGTGTAATCCGTGGCTTTGGTGTCTCTCAACTCTTACACGAACGGAACTACCGAACCCGCAGCAGTGACAAAACTGCTGCTGAGCAGCAAAGTGTTGTGTACACACGCCGATAATGTGGGGTAAGTTTACCACTGCACCCCCATCCATTACGGGGGGTCAGGAGCGTGCTGTGGCACGCATCTCAGTATGATGATTTTGCAAGAGCAGTCTTCCACAGGTAGAAGACCCTGTTTCTTCCCTACCTCGCTCTGTCCCTTCCTTTTGTTACTCCTCGCTTTGTCTCCCTCCTTTTCTGACCTTCCTTTTCCATCTCACTCCAGCCTCCTCCAAGCCTTCCTCATGCCAGGGTCCGAGGCTAGCATAGGTTCAAAGGGCTTCTGGACAGTGGAGGGAGTTACATCTGCAACAGCAAATTCGGAGTGGCAGCTCATTTACTGTCCTACTTTCACATATTCTCACCTGTAGCTGATATCCTCAGTGTCCCAGGAAGGTCCCTGACCATTTGCAGCAAACGGAGCTCTGAGTGGAGAGTGCTGTCTCTGGGGTGTGGATTCTGCAGGTGGAAATTCCGTAGTGGGTTTGTTTTGTGCCCAGGCCAACTCCCACTGACGAACCTCATGGAGAAGACAGAGTCAAAATGAAACGCTTCATGTTAGAAGAGAGGTTTCATGTATTCATCGGCACCTCTCCCCATCCCTCACCCGACGTCTGCTTTATTTCCTGATGCGCAGGGAGCCCAACCAGCAAACTGACCAGTGTTTGCCAGGCTTCTCACGGAACCGGATCTCCTGTATCAAAGACCCACGGGAGCAGTTTTGTCACCTCAGCTGTCAAGGTAATGTTCTCATTAGGTGCGTACTTTCCATTTAAAATCCAGCTTCCTATTAAATAGGGCTTTTTACTATTGTAAATTCTGTATTTCGGGCAAGTTCTTTTGGTGGTTGTTTCATAAGAAGGTTTACTGTATCTAGCAGATGGAGCCGTCTGAGAACATGGTGGTTGTACAAGGAATGCAAGGAAGTCTGTGGAGGGCATAGCTCTCAAGATGTTTTATCTTTCAAAAAAGCTTTTACGTGTCTGACTTGAATCTTCTTCACTTTGTTAGTGACAGTATGTGATTAAATCAAAGATGCCTGCCTCAAAACCTTCACTTTCATCATTATTTTTGTACAGCAGCTGCTCCTAGCAGCCTGAAAATAGCTCATTTAATGGTTTTAGAACTGCCTGCATCTTGTGTAAACAGTGGAGTAACCAAATGTGTAAACAAACAGTGATGAATAGGGTTCATGCTTCTGATCTGCAAAGCCCGAAAGGTATGGAGCTGAACTGTCTCGCAGGAGATCTCTCCTACATCATGTGCTAGGGAGGATATTTCTGGCTGGCAAGTGGCGTCAGTGAGGCTCTTTGAAAGCAGCTGGTGGGTGTGCTGCTGAAAACAGGAGCGTTTCCCTGTCTCCAAGTTACAGGAATATTAATGCAGGATGTGGGGGGGGGGAGAAGGCTTGCCAGTCGGCCTGCAGAGAGCAAATCACTTTACATTTGGAACTGAAATGCTTCCTTTTCTGTTAGGGAAAAAGTGTTGAAGATTGCTCTCTGAAGCAATTAGTTTGGAGCAGCATTTTAAGTGTCAGGTGTTGCAGTTAGCTGTTCAGCTTTACAGCCTGTCTGCTCAGATGGCGTTCACTTAGCTATGTTGAAAACCATTCATTAGTCTTTGTTTTTCACTGATTTGGGACAGTTTGTTCTGAAAAGTTTTATATGAGTCAGAGTAGGCACGTCATTAGTAACAGTTCAATTCTGCACTTCCAGGGCAAAGTTAAAAACTGAAGATATTAAAATACATACATAAATCATAGCTCTGTAAACAGAATTGTATCTTGATTTATGACTTCTGATCAGTGGAAAAGTTGTAATTTTATGGTTTCTTTAAAGAGGAGGGGGTGTCTCAGTTCAGTGTGGTGTTGCAGATTGTGCTTAATTCACCACTTTTCATCTCTTCACTGTGTGCTAGTTTCCTCTGTGTTTTTTTTAATGCCTTAAGGCTGTGTTTTTTCAGCCACTTTAAAACGACCAATACGCAGGCTGCTGTTGAGAGGGCTGGCTGTGCCTCTAGCCTTGTCTTCACACGTGCCCCGGTTTGCTGGCAGTTGTGCAGCAATCTGGTGAACCAGAGCAGACAGCTGACCTGGTTGAAAACTAATCTGTTTTCAGCCATATGTGTCAGCACAAGGAAGACAGCAGGGGTATTGGGTTCGAGTCTGAGGGCTTTCTGGTCATAATCCAACCCAAGGATGGGGCTAGTGGTTGTGAAACCATGGCTTTGGAGTCCACGCTGACTGTAAATGAGTACAATTATTTTACTTAAACAAAACAGAACTGTAAAAAACTTCTTC